CTCGCTGCGGATCAATGGCGGCATACGACAGTTCCGGCAGGTAAGCCGCGACCTCCACCGTTTCTCGCGAGCCTATATCAACGCACACAACCAGCTGCTCATGGTGCAAGAATACCGCAACGACGACACGCCTAGATCGGAATTTGATCTAGGTAGAGGCGCGGCGCGTTTACCTTTTCTTGAAAAGCGAAAAGAGAACAAGTGAATTAGAGTTGTACCCCAGTTCCACAGTCTCGAAGCTACTTTCCGACAAATCAATCTTGTTTAATAAGTCGATTATCGCATCAAGTTATAAATTTTGTGACATTAAAGAAGGAAGAATTAATTCCGCATTCTTGATTACTTTTTAAGAAGAAAAGATCAATTCGGAAACAAAGATTTAAATCAAAAGTTGATTATTTATTAAATTATGTATTAATCAACATACAGAATATATGTTTATAGTACAGCTTCAATAAACATCTGGTATCAGGTTGAAATCGATAAAATTTATAATGTTTTAAAATAGAGGAAAATCGGTTAATTACTTCAATTAATAACAATGACCCAAACAGGGATTTTGTTCCACGCGATAGGTCCATATATTATATCTTTAACGAGCATTTCGTGATAAATATTATAATTGTGGAATAAATACATAATTATGCGAATTACTAAGATAAAACAAGCAGAATAAATTTATATACGAATAGAAAGACATAATAAGTCAATAGCAACTATACAGATAACGACTGTACGAGTTTTATACGTAAAATTAATGCACATGTATAGTTGAATGAACTATTTTATAATTATTGCAACTATAAAATAATATATTCAAACACACGTAGATCAATTTTACATATAAAACTTGTATAGTTCTAGTTGTTACTTGTATAATTAATACAGAATTCGTAACTCAAAATGCTACGACAAGAAAATTTTTTTTGAAAAATTAAGTAAAAAATTGTTTGTAAACTTTTATTTTAAGTAATAATTTCCGAGATACAAAAATTTAAATATCAATTGTAGATTACGTTTAGATAGTCATCTGTGAGTATTGGTGAGCGCCCTGAAGTGCGAATTTTGGGTTTGACAACCTTATGCAGTCGCTACCACTGTGTTTTTCCCGAGTGTAACATAAGATTCCTTGAAATTTGAATTTGTAGCAGATGGCTAATTTAATATCATGTCGCCGTTACATGCGCGGGGTGTTACAGTTTGGTATTCTTGCATCGCGGATGGCGTCACCTGTGCCCAGCACAGCACAGCCGAATCTACCTATGTCTCCATTTGTCCGTCTCTTTTCTCTCTTTCTCTCTCTCTCTTTCTCTCCCCCTCCTCTCTCTCTCTCTCTCTCTCTCTCTCTCTCTCTTTGTATGTGTATTTCTATTTCTCTCGTATATCCATCATTTGTTTTCACTTCCTCTATTAAGTTGGTTAGTTCTGGGAAGAAGGAGAAAGAGAAATGGTTGTATTTAATTGGTCAACGGTTGCGTAAGAGCCAAACCGCGAAAGAGTATCTCATTGTTATCCAATCGTCTCTCCAAACGTAAACTAGAAATGACATTCAATGGAGACGTCCTAACAACGTTTTCTCCTGGTTTTCTATTTTTTTGGAATTTTTTTTTTTTTAGTACTATCTTTTTCTTCCCAGATTTTAAATTTCTTTTGAATTTCTTTTAGCTGTCTTTTACGTTGGTGCATAGAAAAAATAATTTAAAGACGACTAAAGAGAAACTTGAAAGATTTCTTTATTCAACCATCGAGTAATATGATACGATAAAGATTATAATCACTGCAATGTTTGTACAAAAACAATTATTACTACATGATAATCTAGATTTCTCTTTCTCTTTCTTTCTTGCTCCTGCAGCTTGTCCTCCGTCGCTCTTCGTGGTTCTCTCCACGCATGCATTTCCTCTGCGTGTTCTCGTCTCCTCTAGTGTGTCATTGTTTTATACCGTCAAGTTACTCAACTCCTTTATTGGTGTTTCCACACTCGTTACATTCCTATTCGAACGTCATGGCTATGTTCGTGGGTGTCATTTATGTGTCAAATGTGTCTTGTAACATTTCGCTTCTCTTTTATCGTTCATTCGAATTCATCCCGGTCTCCTCAGGGAGACAGATCTCTTTTCCTCTTTGTTCTCCAGCGCGTCCCACTCTCGTTCACCTTTCCTCCATCGTTGGGGTTTTACTGGCGTAGGCCCGGCGGAATCGTAAAAGCGCGACGCGCCGAGGAAGGATAACACAATGTCAAAGCAGGTTGTATGAGATCGAAATATAGCGTGTGTACTTTACGAGATAGTAAATTTACGTTGGCTCCATCATAAAATAAAATTCGTGGCGGCTGTTTCCATTCTGATTTCGTCGCTGTCTGTTGGAGGCTATCTGTTGAAATTTGCCACGGCATGCGACAAAGAGTTGTTTGTTGAGGTTTTATATCTCTTTCGTTTTCATTCATTAGGTTGCTTTTTATAAGTTTCCACGTTCAATTGCTGTTATATCGTTTCGTAGCAAATTTCGGTCTTCATCCCAAGATCAATAAATACGCAAAATTATTAATTCATCTTTCAATTCGAGGATTTTTGAATTCTTTTATTTGAAAACTTGCAAACGTAATAATTCATAAATTTATGTGTTAATTCAAAATTTAAATTCAAATATCTCTGAAAAAATTTTCTGGATTTTTATATTATAACGCGATATTCAAATACATAAAAAGAAGTGAGAATTAAAAGATCCAAGAATTAAGTATTTTACGAATTGAAAGAGGTTGGGGTTGCTGACTTAAAATTTAAAAATAGATAGATTCAAGATTTTTGTGCTGAAGTCTTTGGTATGTAGTTAACACGACGAATTAATTACTTGCCACTGAAGATACAAGTCTGCAAAATAACCTTTATCGATGGAAACTCGCCTTTCGCCATCTGGCGGAGGGTGGAAAGAACCGAGTGAAGAACTACCCTTAAATGGTAGCTAGAGAATACCGGCTGAGAACAGAACTGTACCGTTTAGTCGACGTTCGATACACAGCTTGCCGGATTTTTTGCTTCGTTGTGTAGAATCCTGACGTGATATAGATGGCAGTCGTTGTAAAAACTGCCCTCTTGAAAGGATTACTGAGTTTGACCCGCGACGACTTAATCCTTTTTTGACCACTTTGTATACCTTACTTGTAATTTTTTAAATTTGTAGTAAGATATATTTTCTAAATGGAAATGCCTAACTAAGCGGACTTAGAAAATAAATGCAATAAAATATTTATTTTACGTTTTCTTTAAAATAATTAATATTATGATTTTTGAATTACATATTTTTTTTTTAATCCAAATATTGCAATGCCAAACTCATCTCATATCAATCACTTTTTAACTCTTTGACTGCCATACGAATTTTTATAATCCGTCTCCTGGCGCGGCGTACTATTTTTTGTATGATGTAATTTTAAGTAAATTTTCACATTAAAATATATTTTCCAATAAAATGTTTTTAATAAAAGTTCTCAGCAAAGTTGACAAATTTTTCCAAAATTTACAAAGTATCATATAAAATTAATGTAAAGTGTTCTTGATTTATATACAGCAGGTATGAAATGTGTGTTAAATTAACATCAAAATTAATATTCAAGACGGACGTCTTGAATCCATATAGATGTGTATCCAATTAAATACAGCAGTCAAAGTGTTAATCAGACTGAACATTAAATTTCTTCTAATGGAAACTCGCACACAATTTGCACGTTTCTTTTGTCTTTTCTGGGACACCCTGTGCGCATCAGCCTCGCTCTATTTTTTTTCTGACTGCATTCATAATTTGCTTAGTTTCTGAGTGGAAATCCTCTCTCGGACGAGAGCGTAAACCAAAATTTCCGTCATCATTAAACGAGATTTGCATCGTGTGAGAAAGGGACCAGGAAAGGGGCTGGGATGAGGAGCGGTTCTCGCGACATTGTTAGTTTAATTATGTTTCCTTGGCGCATGGAAACGCGCTTGCGGACTAAGGCTTCCGTTGACGTTTTTGGCCGATAGCCAACCAGAATACTAACGAAAATGTCCTCGTGCATGCCATAGAGATACACCGCGACGAGAATCCCTTGACATTTTCCACGAGTTGAGTAATCGCTGGGAAATACGAAGCTGGTCAATCGAATGCATGTACGATATCCGTGATATATACAGTGATGCGTGTGATACTATTGTTTACAAACGTATATTCTCAATCAAACAATCCTGTGTTGTTTTTCATCAATATATTGCAATATTGTATTATTATTCTCAAATATTAAAAAATATAAATTACTCGTACGTGAAAAATGTCACTTATTTTTCGATGCCGTTCATAAATATTTATTTTTTAATTATACAATGGCAACAAAGTTGCTCGCGCTCGTATTGTTCCGAAGCGTATTATTTTCTCGTGAAATACCTCAAAACCGTCGGATATCCCACCAATTTTTATGTAAAATTACAATAAAACATCACATTCTGCTAAACCGCGAAAAAATTAAGGAGAGAATATCAGCAGAAAAACGAAAAATCTCGGCACCTATTTGGAACAGAGCATGTTCGTCGCTTTGCCTTTGCATTTTGATAACACGCGACGAATATATTCGTTTTTCCGCTCGTTATAATGTTTTTAATTATAACACATTTAAACGTGTAGACAGTAGCTCTTTCTCGCAGCTGCAAACATCGAGTTTTCGTTCGTGATCGTATTTTTGTTCGAAAACGATGTTTCCGCGATTCTTTGCAACGTGCGGTTTTCACGTTTTCGATCTTCTTTCTTTTCCATGTCATTGCTTTATTATAAAACTGTTCACAATGCCAGACGTAGACGTTTTAACCTAGTTATGTGAGATGCACTAGTTTGTTGTTTTTACTTTTTTTTATCCGACACGTTTTATCTCGGTTGCTTTTTTAAGAATTGACTATCACGAAATTTTTTCTAGGTTCTAGAATTTTTTATTTCAAAATACGTCTTTTTTTTTTTTTAGAAAAAAACCGTTTTAGATATATAACTGTTATTAATACATACAAATTGTTTCAATGCAATAAC